CATCTCAAAATACCACTGCATTGGGAATTAGGCTTTAATACATGAATTTGATAGGTACACAGATTGTCAGACCATAGCACTGGGTTATGTGCATAACTAAGCCGATCCCTCCCAAGCACAAGGTCTAATGTGGTGCCTTGCATGTAGCAAAACAACCTAAGTGGAATGAAAAGATGTATTAGGATATTAAGATGGGAGAGAGTCTTTCTGAACCACACTCATGGGACCCTCTTTTATGACATTAAAATCAACTTTTCACTTGCTCACTCCCCTTTCTCTTCCTTTCTCCTGAATTTTGGTGCTCCAGAGAACTTCGGGTGTTGCCTCCTTTGTATTTTTCTGGTCTCTGTCCTTGGGCACTCTCACTCAGTCCCATGCTTTCAATGATCTCCAGTGAGTCGCTCCCAAATCCATACCTCTATCTAGAGTCCGTTAATGACCCTTAAGTAATTTTTTAAAACTGTCAGGCCAGTCATGGAGACATGGTGTTAATGTAATGTTATGGAACCATGTGGAAAGGTTACTGGTTCCTGTCCCGAGGTCTCTGTGCACGTTGGGCCTGTGTGTGTATGCCTGTGATCCTGCTGGCTGAGGCCAGGTGTGGATCGCAGCATGGAGACCCTGTGGGGTGCCTGCCTTTCTCTTTCTCTCAGGCAAGAAATAAATAGAAAAGAAAAAGGAAGTCAGATGTCATGACCTTTAAAACTCACTAATGCTGAATGCAATATGGTGCCCTGGACTGTATTGTAGAACAGGAAAAAGACATAGGTGGGAAAACCCAGGGAACCTGAGTAAAGTCTAGGGTGACTAGTCAGGTACCAAAGCTGGTGTCTTAGCTTTGATGAATGTACTGTGGTGATGTCAAAAGTTAGCACTGGGAAAACTGATTAGGGGGTATATAAGAACTTTCCACTTAATCTTTGCAACTTTTCTGTAAATACAATATTATTCCACAATTGAAAGAATTTTAAAACAAATTAATATTTGCTCATATTCCCCTTGTATTAGAATCTAAAACCCTTGACATGACCCGTTTTCTCTTTCTAGCTAGGCTAAACGTCTTACTTTTAAAAACATTTTTAGTTTTAGGTTTTGCCATAGGGCACATGTGGTCACTGGAGAGAGAGAGACAGACAGACGATGAGAGGGAAAGTGAGAAAATACCTCCCAGGTGGTGGTATTGGATGGATGGCCATGTTACAATCCCTTCTCCCCTGACCCCCCTGGGATTTTGGGCATGCACACACGTGTGTCTGGCGTGATTTTCAAGCCACCAGGTTGCCAGACATGCACATGTTGGCCACATGGGAGTTCAGTGCCTTTACTACCATGCCACCTGCTGGCCCCTAGACCAAACTTATTAATACTTCCAGAGAGATAAGTCTTTTTCTTGCCTCCAAGTACTCACAGTATCTACCCCATTAGTAAAAGCTTGATAAATGCTTGTTGAAAATTAATAAAGGTTGTACATTTTAAATCAAAAGACTGATAGCAGCAGTTGTTGTGGTGGTGAAGGTGTTGGACTCCCACATGTTGACCCTGGTTTGAGTCCTGGACCCAGTGGCTTGAAAATCATGTCAGGGGCATGTACGTGGGTGCCCAAAATCCCCAGAGGAGAATGGAGAAGGACAACCCCGTGGGGTGCTCTCTCACTTTCCCTTTCCCTCTCTCTCTGGAAAGTGCATACACCCTATGGCAAAAGCCCAAAAAAGACACACTTAAATTTGGGGATTGGCACATCTTGAGAATTTAAAAGCTAAGTTCTATTTTCTGCAGGAGTTAGGGTATTCCTGGCAATCTTTCGACTGTACTGGAGGGCTTCAAAAGACGTGTGAAAAAATTTCAGTGCAAAAAAGCTGAAATCCAGGCATAGCTTTTTCATAATATGCATTTTCCATGAACTTTGGGAAGCCCCTACCTATGGTATGTTTCTTCCCAATGCTTTTATCATTGCCTCTCCCTTAGCGTCATTTCCTTTCCCTCTGCCCTTCTAGGCTGGTCTCCTGGAATTCTGGGCTGACTCCACTTCTAGCTGCTAGGACCTGGTCATCTGAAATGCCCATTTCCATTGGTCGGAGAAAGACAAAGTGTTTCCTTCACCCTCATCACTCTCTCTCTATCCCCGGTCCTTGTCCTGCCTCCCACAGCTCACTGCTGGACAATTTAACAGCAGAACTGCCTCCTTAAAGGCCCAACTACTGAGTTATTCCAATGGCAGGAATTCTCAGCTAGGTGAGGGGAGCCAAGTCAGGATGCCAGATGGTGGGGAGAGACAGGCCTGGGTGAGCAGGCTTTGCACGAGAGCAAGGCAGGTCAATCGTGAGCACACATTTGCAATCGCATTGGAGAGAAAGGGCGAGGGACCCTCATCACGCACACACGAGCAGAGCCCTGTTATGATAGCCCTCGGTGTACTTTGGACTTGGATTTACCCTGGGGCAAATCCTTTTCTTTTCAAGCTTCTTCCACCCCCACTTCCATGTTCCACCCTTTTCCCTAAGGCATCAATCTTAAAATAACAGTGAGCAGTAACTATTACTCACTACTCTAGATCCTAAACTTTGGTGAAGATGTCATGATCAGATGTCCTCCTGGCCTGGCGTGGAGCGTATCGCAATGCTCCAGCCAGGCATATGGAGGGTTGCGGGTTCAGTGCCTGAGTTGAACTGTACAGGTGGGGTGTGCCACCCATGATCCTGGCTGGCTGGGAAGTGGTGGGAGGCCATGGTGTAAGACACTGTTGAAGGGCTTGCTTTTCTTTTTCTGTCTCTCACTCTCATGAAATAAATCAATTTGGAACGAGCATATTATCCTCAGTGTCTTAGATGAACAAGCTCATTTTCAAGGTCCATACGGCCATACGCAGCTGGTAACAGCCAGATCTAGAATTCAAACTCAGGGCTTTCTAGCTTCAGTTTTTTTTTTTTTTTTTTAAAGATTTATTTATTTATTTATTTAGCCATAGGCCATGTGCACTTGCAGGAGAGAAACAGAGAAAGACAATGAAAAGGAAAGTGAGAAAGTCCCCAGGCGGGAATGGCCACACTGCAATTCCTTCTCTTTGCCTCGCCTCACCTTGCCTCTTCAGATTCTGGGCACGCACACAAACGCACTCAGTATGATTTACGAGCTGCCAAGTCCAGGACCCGAACAGTGGTCAGCCATCGTGGGAGTCTAGCGCTTGAACCACCACACCATCTGCTGGCCTCCGATTTTTTAAAAACTTATTTTGGGGCAGAGAGAGAGAGAGAGAGATTTGGATACAGTAGCTTAGAGAGGGTCCCATGCCACAATCCACTCCCAGCTTCAGCTAGCCGCAATCGTGAGCACACGCTTGCCTGATATACTCAGGGCAGTTCCCACCAACTGGGTCTTACTGGAAGACCACGTGTTTTACCACTGTGCCACAGTCCAACCCTTCTGGATCCAAAGCTCTCGTTCTGCTCTCCTATCAATGATCTGGGGTGATTCACTCTAAACTCTCTACTCCCAGTGGAGGGTGTTCATGAAAGGGCTTTTACAGAGAGTGAAAGTGGAGCATCAGGGGTCAGAGGTGGCAGAGTAGTTAAGGTATTGGACTTTCACAAAGCTGATCATGGTTCAAATCCTGGACCTGGTGGGTTGCAAAATTATACCAGGTGTGTGTGCATGTGTGTGTGTGCCCAAAATCCAGAGAGGAGAATGGAGAAGGGACTGTGGCATAGCCAACCCCTTGGGGGGGATTTTTCACTTTCCCTCTCTCTGTCTCTCTCCTGTAAGCACACACACACCCTATGTCAAAAACAAAAACCAAAAACGAAAAAATAAGGAAAGAAAGAAAATGAAAGTAGAGCATCAGAATCTCCACGTCCAAGCAGACGCCTAGTCGGAAGCTGATGGAGGGAGTGGAGCATTGAAGTGTGGACTCTCTGGGGTGCTCTTCCTTTCTCTTTGTGTGGCAGTGACAACCGAGAATCAATCCGGGAGCAGCACTGTGAGCATGCTCCTCCTCCCCCTGTACACCACTTTTTGCTACACGTACTCCAAAATGATAGACAGAAGAATTTAATACACGCAATGCTTTCCCTTCCATTTACACTATCATAAATTACAAAGTATTGTTCACTTCACAAAATAAAACCATTTCCAGATAATTTTTAACAGTATCAAGAAGTACATAGGCTACAGCAAACATATCTGTACAGTCAGGAGGAAGAGTAACAGCAGGGACAGGCCCAACCCTTTTGACCCCAGGTGCCTCCGGAGCCCACCTGCAGAGCCCTGGGGACTCTCAGGACACAACTGCTCACGCTCCTCCTCTTCGCTCCACCTCACGCACAACCATCCTCTTTTGGTCACTCCAAAACAAGACTAGTGAACAGTTACATGAGTCACCTCAACAGAGGAAAAGGCATTGCAGTTGGCTTGAAAGGAAACGAAATCCAGATTTACAATTTGTGATGCTTTAAATATTTTACCTATGTTACAAAATATAGAAATCTTGGTGTGGGAGGCTCATGCTAAGATCAATATAACCGACAGAATGGAATTACAGTCATCAAATCATATTAAATTATTTTCCACACAGAGTTACTTTTACCAAGGAGGAACACATATTTGATTTAAAACAAAACAAAACAAAACAAACAACCTTATTCAGTCTTACTTTAAAAAATAGGTTTGTTCATAAAACAAAAATGAAAAAAAAATCAACATGATTCTGCAGAGTCACTTTTCATCAATACAGAAACATACAACTCGCTAGCAACAGATGAATTTCAAGGGCTAGGTCGAAAAGAAAAGAAGAAAAAGTGCTAACTTTGTACAGGGCCAGATACATCCAGTGTTCTCGAACCGTTCTATGGGGAATGCCCACATCCTGCATGTTCTGAGAGACACACGGTGCGAAAAGGCTCTTTCCAATTCCAAAACAGACTTTGCGAATCCAGACAAGGTTTATGGAAAGACGATTTGGGGGTGTCTCAGACCACCCTATAATTCTTATAAACAAATACCAAAAGCTAGCAGAATGCCAGTGCTTAAGGGTAAAAACTAGCAAAAGCAGGGTCACACGTGGCAGGTGAGATTTCATGGGAACACACTAAGGACAGAGGTATGTCGAGATAATACTGCATTCGTGGTCGACTTTTCCAGGGCAGCACAGCAAGAACAGGGGACCAGGTACACAGGGGAATAATCAATGCACTGCATTGAATTCTATTTGCTAAAATAAAATAACATTCTTGCAGCTAAAATAAAAATACATTTTACAATATAGGTCTCATTTAACATTTAACATATAGAATTGTCTTCTTTCTGTAGAAGTGGAAAATGTAGAACTGTATCAAGTACCTTTGCAAATTAAGTTCCCTTTTATTACTGATCGGATTGAAGTGGAAAGGTCTACGTTGTTGCTTAATAAGTTAAAGAAAGATTTATTAATCACTCTTCCGGCAAAACAGACACACATACGAGGCACAGCAGAAGACCCGAGATGAGAGGCTTTCCCGGCCCTCACCCTTGTTCTCACATGGAGGCGCGTGTCTATGAGACACAGTAACCGGCTCGGCAATCCACTGCAGTCAAGGAAATGCTGCCACTTGTTTGAGAAACAAATCAAGTGTAATAACTGTTTTTATTCCTTTATCAGCTTAGATGGGGCTGGGGCCGTTGGCACATTTCCCTGATGGATTAAAACAACACATCTTCGTTTTCTATTAAAATCTGCACAATCAGCTTTTGGTACCGCATGTCGTGGAGGGTGGTCAGGGTGCTGTCCTCGGGGGGCCTCATCAGAGTGGGTCCAAACACGATCCCCAGATTTTCCGCATTCATGAAATTGTCCTTTTCATTCATGGTCACCCTGCAAAACAGACATAGACACAGAGACATCACTGAGACTCGAGGGCAAAGCGACGCACTGATTCTGGACTTGAGTCCTAAGAACAGTTGTGACGCGGGAAGTCACGAGAGCAAATCGAGAATCAGAGTGGCAGAGAGGTATTTTTCATAAGGCAATTTTCGGATTTGTTTTTCTTTGAACTGTTGGCATTGTCTTCAGCCTGAGGAAGTGAATTACTTAGGTGACCCTAGTATGGACACAGTCTTTTAAATTAGAAAAGGATTCATCCTTACTAATTATTAGGTTGTCAGTAAAGTCATGATGCAGTTTTGCATAGAAACACATAGAAAAATTGGGACCAGCAGATGGCATAATCATTACATTGCTGGACTCCCATGTAGTTGCCCATGGTTCGAGTCCCAGACCTGGCGGCTTAAACTCATGCTGGGTGTGTGTACGTGCGTGCCCAAAATCCCAAGAGGAGACTGAAGGAGCAGGGATTGTGGCGTGGCCATCCCCCCTGGAGGGTGATTTCTTGCTTTCTGTCTCTCTGTCTCTCTCTGTCTTTCTGGTGAGAGCATGTACCCTATAGCAAACAAACAAACAAACAAAACTCTCAAACAAAAAACACAGAAAAATAACATTATGACTTTTCTGATGACCCAGTTGAAAACCTTCACTCAAGGAATATTTGGTCTACCGGGGTAGCAGATTACTAGCTGGCCCGTGGGGCGTACTATGAGTGTCTTATTTTCCTCTTGCCACTTCGTCCTGAGCTGCATACTGAACAGTGCGAAGCCGAGGGCAGGCGCCCCGTCTACTGGCAGGACTCGTGCCAGAGGAGAAAGGTTACCTTGGCACGGGCAAGTGCATCGGCAATGGTTAAGACAGAGAGCGGGGCTTTGGATCAGCCTGCCTGGGTTTCAGTCCTGGCTTTGTCACCTCTTCAGATCAGCTACTTAACATCCCTGAGCTTCAGCCATCTCCTGTGTGACCAGAGACCCCTGACAGGGCCCACCTCACAGGGACGACACGTGGAAAATGTCTGGAGCCATTCATGGCAGTGTGAGGGCTCTCACAGTCACGACTGGGGCAGGCCCGAGGAAGCGGCATAGTTCACTTGAAAGGAGTCTGTCCACTCTGTGTTGGGAGTAGGCTGTGAACTCTACCTAACGCAGGAACCGCCCTGGGGCAGATCTGGGATTGCGGGCGAGGTGACATCTTACTTTTTGAGATGGATCATTAGGTACCGCAGGGTCTCGTAGTGGGCAGGAGGCAGCAGCATCAGCACGTCGTGGACTGCTTCCAGCCTCTCATCTGCGTTAGAGATCTCTGCAGAGATTACACACAGCACATGTTAGCGAAGAGCTGTAACAGTAACGTTTGGAAAAGCAGCAAAAAGCGTGCGTTTGTTTTAGAACAACTGAAGAGGGTGCTAATAAACTCCTGGACTTTCAGGTACTATTACACTTGAGTTAATCAATCTGCGTGTATTCTGCTTAGTTCTGGAGAAAGGTTCAGGTTGAACATCATATGCTTATTCAACGTCCATGATGTGAGTGATCCGAGGCTGGCCACTGTCCTTGCCGCTGGAAATTGGCATTCCAGTGGCATGCTTACACTCTGGTGGCACATGCACAAACTATTTTGCCCATCTTCTGAACTGGATTTGCTAGAAATGTCACTCTCATTTTTTTTTTTTTTTTTTTGGAGTCTAGAGACATAGCCATTACACTAACTGCTGGTTCCCAAAATGTCACTCTCATAAGCTTTCATGGGAACCATACCACACATGGTAGTGTTCCCCTTAGGTTGTCTAATTAAGTCTTTCTCTGGCAGGCTTCCAGAACATTTTGCAATGACATGGGCAGATCAGTCAGTCTACTTGGCTTACATTAATGGCATTCCTTACCAAAGTGTTGGCATGATGGATCTGGTATATTGTCTTAGGTTAGGAAGTAGCTAGGACTCACATTGACAATGGAAGGAAGAATAGACTCATCTGGTTTTGAGGTCTCTGGTAGGTACTGGCAGACATTCAAAGAATTCTCTCCCACCATTTCTCCTGAGGTAGGAGGTACTTGTGTGCTAGAACCTTCACACAGGACCAACAGAACCCAAGAAAGAATGGTCTGTACCAGGCAATAGGGCCATAGCTCATCTGGAAAGCATGTCTCATCTAATGCCAGTGTACCCCATATCTCCCCATTGGGCATTGTATTAATATAGTTAACAGCACATTCCTAAACTTTTTAACCTTTAAGTATTTGAAAACACACACACACACACACACACACACACACACACACAACACACAACTTTCTTTAAGTGGGCTTGACTTTTATTCATTCATCTCAACCCCTGAATCTCATCTTGCTCGCTATTGTCTGTTCCTGGGGAAAATGTATGCCTTCCCCCTGACCTGCCCCTTCACGCTGGTCCTCTCTCCTGACAGTGTATGTGCCCGAGTGCTGATCACCGAGCGAGCCACTGTGCGCTGATGGACGACAAACCGTCCACTCTTGGACCTGAAGCTTGGCCCTCCAAGCCTAGCTGTTCTCCCCTGTGAAATGACTTTACAGTATTTGCCTCAGGGGGTGAATGAGGAGATTAAACTAGAAGATGTTGGTGAGAATCCCTAGCAGAGCACTTGACAGTGTGCTCATGGCCTTCTGTTAGTTTTGAACAGCGTCCATGGGCAGATGTGAGGTGACTTTACTCCATTAGCAGTGAGAGTCTGCCTAATGAATGGAAGTAGTGAATCTGCACAGCCCTCATCACACGACTGCAGACATATCTGTGCTTTTGACACGTAACAGGACAGGCTGACTGCACTGGTTCCCAGCGAACAAGAAACACCGGGGAGAGAAGGCATGGCCAAGCACCCAGCTTTGCCCAGTGCTGTTGGTTTAGTACTGGTTCAACTCAGCTGGCAAACTGTCTGGTTTCTATTCACGGTACTGCTGTGTCTTCACTTGGCAAAACAAAGGCTTGTGCAGTAATTGAAACAGTCCTGAGTTTTGCTTTGCTTGAGGTCCAAAGCATTGTGTTTAAACGCTCGGCACACATTAAAAATCCACTCTCAGTACTCACTTGCTGCTTCTATGAATTTGGAATAGGTATCATAGGTGATGACAGGGATGGGTAAGTCTCTGAAGTACAGTTTAAGGGCTCCAGTGATGATGTTGATGTCTGGGTAGACGTTGGCAGATATGTCCGCCTTTTCACCATTTTGCTGTAGGGCCCGTGCGCTCGCCAGACAGAGAGAGACATAGAAACAGAAAGCGAGAAATCACCCCCCAGGGGGGATGGTCATGCCGCAATCCCTTCTCCTCCATTCTCCTCTCGGGATCTTGGGCACGCATGCACATGCACCCAGCGTGAGTTTTAAGCCACCAGGCCCAGGACGCGAACTGTAGTCGACTACGTGGGAGTCTAGAGACATAGCCATTACACTAACTGCTGGTTCCCAAAATGTCACTCTCATAAGCTTTCATGGGAACCATACCACACATGGTAGTGTTCCCCTTAGGTTGTCTAATTAAGTCTTTCTCTGGCAGGCTTCCAGAACATTTTGCAATGACATGGGCAGATCAGTCAGTCTACTTGGCTTACATTAATGGCATTCCTTACCAAAGTGTTGGCATGATGGATCTGGTATATTGTCTTAGGTTAGGAAGTAGCTAGGACTCACATTGACAATGGAAGGAAGAATAGACTCATCTGGTTTTGAGGTCTCTGGTAGGTACTGGCAGACATTCAAAGAATTCTCTCCCACCATTTCTCCTGAGGTAGGAGGTACTTGTGTGCTAGAACCTTCACACAGGACCAACAGAACCCAAGAAAGAATGGTCTGTACCAGGCAATAGGGCCATAGCTCATCTGGAAAGCATGTCTCATCTAATGCCAGTGTACCCCATATCTCCCCATTGGGCATTGTATTAATATAGTTAACAGCACATTCCTAAACTTTTTAACCTTTAAGTATTTGAAAACACACACACACACACACACACACACACACACACAACACACAACTTTCTTTAAGTGGGCTTGACTTTTATTCATTCATCTCAACCCCTGAATCTCATCTTGCTCGCTATTGTCTGTTCCTGGGGAAAATGTATGCCTTCCCCCTGACCTGCCCCTTCACGCTGGTCCTCTCTCCTGACAGTGTATGTGCCCGAGTGCTGATCACCGAGCGAGCCACTGTGCGCTGATGGACGACAAACCGTCCACTCTTGGACCTGAAGCTTGGCCCTCCAAGCCTAGCTGTTCTCCCCTGTGAAATGACTTTACAGTATTTGCCTCAGGGGGTGAATGAGGAGATTAAACTAGAAGATGTTGGTGAGAATCCCTAGCAGAGCACTTGACAGTGTGCTCATGGCCTTCTGTTAGTTTTGAACAGCGTCCATGGGCAGATGTGAGGTGACTTTACTCCATTAGCAGTGAGAGTCTGCCTAATGAATGGAAGTAGTGAATCTGCACAGCCCTCATCACACGACTGCAGACATATCTGTGCTTTTGACACGTAACAGGACAGGCTGACTGCACTGGTTCCCAGCGAACAAGAAACACCGGGGAGAGAAGGCATGGCCAAGCACCCAGCTTTGCCCAGTGCTGTTGGTTTAGTACTGGTTCAACTCAGCTGGCAAACTGTCTGGTTTCTATTCACGGTACTGCTGTGTCTTCACTTGGCAAAACAAAGGCTTGTGCAGTAATTGAAACAGTCCTGAGTTTTGCTTTGCTTGAGGTCCAAAGCATTGTGTTTAAACGCTCGGCACACATTAAAAATCCACTCTCAGTACTCACTTGCTGCTTCTATGAATTTGGAATAGGTATCATAGGTGATGACAGGGATGGGTAAGTCTCTGAAGTACAGTTTAAGGGCTCCAGTGATGATGTTGATGTCTGGGTAGACGTTGGCAGATATGTCCGCCTTTTCACCATCTGAAAAACAACCAATGATCCAAGTCCTAATTAGGACCTCACTTCACCAAGTTAAAGCACGCACAGAAAGAAAGAGAAAAGATCTAACAACGAGTGCTTCCTCCCAGGCCTCAGCTAACTCTTTCTGCTGCTAACAATACTTACGTATAGGAGGTTTCAGAGAAGAATCGGGTGAGAGTGAGGGAGAGGGTAAATGCAGGCTAAAATGTAATGAAGTCGACTTGAATCATTCTTTGGGTCCCAGCTTGTGGTTATGTGCTATACAGAGATTTAGCACAGCAGCCAGGTGGTGGCACAGTGGTAACACAACTGGACCCACATGAGAAAGGTCCTCAGTTTACGGCCTGGGACCTCCCCGGGTACTGCTGGGCATGTGTTCTCATGTGCCCATCATCTAGGCTGACTGACATGTGGGTAGGCTGTGGCATGAAGATTGTTGGGGATGTCTGTCTCTTTCTTGCATTCTCTCTCTCTGTCTCACATGGAAGAAATAAACAAACAAGCTTAAAAAAGTAATTTAGAAGAGTAATTTGTATTATAGACACAAGGTTTCTTATTACAATAACAACCTGATTCAAAATAAAACAAGATCAAGACTATTAAGTTTTCAGTATTTTCTGAACCTGGCTTTACTTTGAAGGTCACATACACAAAATAACTATTAAATATCTTCAGTTTCTATCATCTCTTTCAGGATCACTGAAGTATTTTATATTTTTAAAATTTAGAGGCACATACATTTGTTGGAGAGAAAGAGAGAGAGAAGGGAACAATGAGAAAGCAAAGTAACCCTTATGGAGTCACGGAGAACGGTCATGCCATCACCCCTTCTCCTTCATTTCTCCCTCCTTCGGGCCTGCGTGCACATGTGCCCAGCACGTTTCTCAGACTGCCGAGTCTGGGACTCAGTCCTCAGAGTCAGTTATGTGGGATCCAGCCACCTTCACTACCACTCCATGGGCTGGCCTTTGCTGAAATATCTTTCGACTTCACCTTTCCTTCCCCAGACCCTAGGACTTTAATCTGAGAAACTTTTACCTCACCTTACATATAGGCAATGTTATATTGTTTTACTATTTTTTAAAAAATCAGTCTCAAGATGTGTTTTGACTTTTTGTTCCATCATTAGTAAATACCAGTCCAATTCAGCCATCATGTACTATGTATTTTAGATTAAAAAAACTTTCAATCATACAGGGACTAGACTATCTTTTTTTTTTCCCCCTTTTTTGGAGAGGTTTTTGCTATAGGGCATGTGCACTTGCCAAAAGGACAGAGAGAGACAGAGAGACAGAAAGCAAGAAATCACCCCCCCCCCCGGGGCTGGCCACATCTTTTTGGAGAGGTTTTTGCTATAGGGCGCGTGTGCCAAAAGGACAAAGAGAGACAGAGAGACAGAAGCAAGAAAACCCCCCCCCCCCCGGGGATGGCCACATCGCAATCCCTTCTCCTCCATTCTCCTCTCAGGATCTTGGGCATGTGCCAGGCGTGAGTTTAAGCCACCTGGTCTGGGACCACGGTCAACTACATGGGAGTCCAGCGACATAGCCATTACTTCCACTGCTGGTCTCTATACCTATCTTTTGTATAGAAAATTAAAAGCACAAATGCCTCAACAAATGTAGTCCTGAAGATCAAAAAGCTGCTGAGAACAATCAAGTGAAGCGGATGTGCTGTACTGGCCCCATCGTTTACCTAGTTAGCAACAGTTATGGAGGGCGAAAGCCGTGAAGCCCTGACAAGTCAAAGAAAAGGAGCTACTTCCTTCCCATACTTGTAGCCGGACTGGAAGTCAGGCATGCAGTTCAGTGATTACAGGAGATGGGAAGATTGTTGTGCTTGAGACAGGTGAAAAAACACGCGAGGATATGGGGAAAGGAATTGGAACTCTCAGGTCTGCTTGGGACGATCCAGAAGGCTCAGTGAAAGAGGGCAGACTTGAGCTGGCCCCACTGAACAGGTGTTTGCAGGGCAGAAATGTGAACTCATTCCCTCTGGAATGAGTTCCCAGTGTGCATCCAGGTGCTTCTTCATGACAACAGACAAGGTGCCTTTCAGGGTTGCTGGAATGTACATTTCAGTAGGAAGGAGGGACCAGAGGTGAGCCTGAACCTCCAGAGAGGCCACATCATCAAAGATCTTGTCTACCATGCTACCGTGGAGGCCCTATCAGTAGGGTCAGGGGTTTCACCCGTTACTGGCAGCACCAGAAGTATTTGGATTGTTCTTAGCATATTGTTGGGCTCTCCATTTTTATTTTTATTTATTTTTTTGAGTCAGTCTTCATGGTAGGGCCTGGTGGTCTGTGTTTATAACACATTTTCAAGTTGGCTTATGATGTCTGACCTTTTAAGAGATATATGCACTAGAAACATGTCACAATCCCGAAGGACAGGAAGAGTGGCCTCCTAAGCTCTCCTGGCTGCCCCTACTGCAGTTCCCTAGCATCCCTCTGCTCCCTTCTTTGGATATTTGAGAGAAGGAGAAGAGTTGGGAGATCCCGAGATGGGGGGTGCAGAAGGAGCTCCAGTACCACGTGGACTGGCTCCCTATCCTGGCAGTATTTGAAACTCACTTCTCATGCAGTCAGCTATCCATGGCTTTAAGGGAACACTTCTCCCGGAGAAGCATAACTATGATATTTTGAAAACATTATTTCTCATCTTCCAAAAAGGCTGCTCTCAGTAATTCTGAAACCCTATTCCCACTATGAATAAAATCCAGGTCCAAAAGAGAGGGTGCTAAGGCTAGGTCAGACGGCATTCAAGAAAGTGCCGGCTTACCTCTGTCGAATGCCATTTTGACATCTTCGATGTGTTCAGTGAACCCAGAGACTCTGTACAGGCCTTCTGACTTTAATCCTGTTAGAGAGAGAGAGAGACTGACTGAGACAGACTGTTCTTACTTCAGCTTCCTGAAACATCTAAATAAGACTCTAATTTCATATCTGCATTATGTGCATCCAGAAAATGAGCGGACACAGTCTGATCTAGCACACTGGTGCAGCAGAGCCTGGGCTTGCCTGGGCCAGGTCTGTCTTCATTCTCTTCCTAGGCAGTGGAGACCTCGGTGGAGATCTGGTCTTCCTCCCGCCTGGCTTGGCAAAGCAAGCTGTTCTACCATTAGTAAACACCAGTCCGATTTAACCACCATGTACTATGCATTTTTCGTTTTAAAAAAGTGTTTCAATCATACAGGGACTATACCTATCTTTTGTGTAGAAAATTCAAAGCACGAATGCCTCAACGAATGTGGTCCTGAAGATAAAAAAGCTGCTGATGTTCAGAGAATAATCAAAGCAAAGCGGATGTGCTGTACTGGTCCCACTGTTTACCTCATTGGCAAGCATTGACGGAGGGCCCCCTCCTCAACCACAGGCCCCTGCTTCCTTTGTGCATCTGACCACACGCATTTCACTGCCATGGGAAGCAACCTCGCTTTCTTCCTTGCACCATTTTAACCCATGTGCTATATTGCATGTAACACCGTGCTAGGCACACATATGTGCATGTGTATGTAATAAACATCATCCTGATTTTATTGGAGAAATCCAAATTTAAAACCTTTTATGCTTACTCATTGGCAAGACAATATACTAAGTGTTTTACTGAATATGATTAATTAAAGCGTCATACCTTTAGATAACTGATCAAACAGATGTAAGAAAAGAAAATTCTATTCATTGATTCTGGAAACTTTATCACTATATTTAGGCTTAAAAAAAGACTTGGTATCTATTTCTAGAACTTATTGATTTGTTAAAATATGTCCTAAAATGTAGCCAGTTCCCAAAAGTTTTGGAAGGGAGAGAGCAGCAGATTTCAGATCTTCTATGTCAAAAACTAGCTCCTGTGGAAACTACAGCTATGGAAAAAATAAACAGTAGCTTTTGCTGCTGCTACAGTGTACTCTATAAGATTCTTGATATTTCACAAATGATCCTTTTTCTCACCTAGAAAACATCTATGAGTGTGTACTATCTGCCGTGCACAAGGGTCTGCATCAACGTTAACAGATATATGACGTAACCACTGCCTCCGTTTCTCCTGTGACCATGACATGCATTCCTAATTGATTTTGGCTTTTCCCCACTGAGTAGGCCTCAGTCTCAGAATTAGTCTCAGGGTCAGGCGCCCAGGTTTCCACCACTGCCAATTCGCAGTGGCCCAGAGATGAAACCATTCTGCCATCCTGTTCTGGAGAGAGGTACCTGTGTGTCTCAGTGCAGTCGGGACAGGCACTGCAGCAGAGCAAGGACACAGAGGTTCCAGGTGCACAGGACAGTGGGCAACGAACCTGCTTGCTGACACAGAAGGGCATCTGGGACAGTCTTAAGAGCGATCTTAATTTTTTTTCTTTTCTTTTCTCTAGAGGATTCTTGCCATAGGGCATGTGCGCTCATCAGAGAAAGGCTGAGACAGTGAGAAGGAAAGTGAAAAATCACTCCCCAGGGGGTTGGCCACACTGCAATTTCTTCTCCCAGGATCTTGGGCGCACACACACACAAGTACTTGGCATGAGTTTCAAGCCACCAGATCTGGGACTCAAAACGCGGTCAGCCAGGTGGGAGTCTAGCAATAAAGCCACTACAGTGTCCACTGGCCACAAGAGCCACTCCTTGATATTTCACAAATGATCCTTTTTCTCACCTAGAAAACATCTATGAGTGTGTACTATCTGCCGTGCACAAGGGTCTGCATCAACGTTAACAGATATATGATGTAACCACTGCCTCCGTTTCTCCTGTGACCATGACATGCATTCCTAATTGATTTTGGCTTTTCCCCACTGAGTAGGCCTCAGTCTCAGAATTAGTCTCAGGGTCAGGCGCCCAGGTTTCCACCACTGCCAATTCGCAGTGGCCCAGAGATGAAACCATTCTGCCATCCTGTTCTGGAGAGAGGTACCTGTGTGTCTCAGTGCAGTCGGGACAGGCACTGCAGCAGAGCAAGGACACAGAGGTTCCAGGTGCACAGGACAGTGGGCAACGAACCTGCTTGCTGACACAGAAGGGCATCTGGGACAGTCTTAAGAGCGATCTTAATTTTTTTTCTTTTCTTTTCTCTAGAGGATTCTTGCCATAGGGCATGTGCGCTCATCAGAGAAAGGCTGAGACAGTGAGAAGGAAAGTGAAAAATCACTCCCCAGGGGGTTGGCCACACTGCAATTTCTTCTCCCAGGATCTTGGGCGCACACACACACAAGTACTTGGCATGAGTTTCAAGCCACCAGATCTGGGACTCAAAACGCGGTCAGCCAGGTGGGAGTCTAGCAATAAAGCCACTACAGTGTCCACTGGCCACAAGAGCTACTCTTCGAAGGAAGCCATGAAAAGGTGAGAGAGAGTCTGTTAGGGTAGCAGAGAGGGCAAACTGTCCTCCCAGTATTTGTTCTTCTCTTCCTCTGCTGCACTGCAACCTTTGATGTTTAGAACAACATCCACTACAGTGGCCTTTAAATTGTGGTCAATGTGGAAAGAGCAGGCATAATGCATATAGCTTCTGGGTGCAGCCTTGAAGGGAATGAAGCATGTTCTTAATCCTTTCTTTTATTGGAATGCAGAGGAGATGGTGGTGGCCAATTGGAATCTGAGCGATGAGGGTCCTCTCAGGAATGACAGAGTTATAAGGTGCAGGGCCTGGGTTCCTGCCTTGGGGGAGCTGCTCACAGCCCTGGGGTGCTTCAGGGAGCAGGGACTGTTACTGGAGAGAGGGTGGGATCTCTATCTTGCTGAAGGTACTGTCACTCAGGGTGTCTGTGACAGCACTGAAACATGAGGTAAGGAATACAGTGAGATAGAGTTGGAGGTAGCATCAGGGGAGTTGGTCATTTCCAAGAAAAAAACAAAAAGAAATAGCACAGGGGCACTCAGTACTGGCTCATTATCAGTATCAACTCGTTTTCATCCTCACAACCACCTGAGGAGGTACAATCGATTATATGCACTTCGTAGACGAGGAAGATACGTGGAGTTAGTAACTTGCCAAGCTCACGCTATAGCCAGTGAGAGACAGGGCTGATGACCTAAGCTCAGGTTATGCTCTTCTCAGTCTACTAGGTCAGGTAGACACAAAAGGGCATAAAAGAGCACTTGAAAAGCAATAAAGAATTTGCTAAGGATAGAAGGCAGGGGAAGATGTCGGCAGTGGTGGCCACGCAGCTGGGTGAATTTCCTCTGGTCCAGTCTTGGCTTGTGCTTGCTTACCTAGCCGTCTGATACCTGTCATTGCAGTTCCTTTGCTATGAGTCCACTGGCATAAATTCCACATTTGTGCAGCTCTAAATCTGTACTAGGCATGTCTGGTGTTAGCTATCCATGGACTTTCTTTCTAAATGTGGTGGGAACTCTGCCTGAATTACCAGTTGTCTCTGATGAGGATCCCAGCTTCTCCAGAGAAGCACAGCTCCTGTCCACGGCTCTGATTGTAGGCTGTGGAGAGACTGAGGATCTGACCTGAAATTGCAGGTTCTTCTACACAGCAGGATCCAGAGCCACTTTCCCACCCACTCAGCCAGAAGCGGGGCATCCCTTATCTCCCTGTACCCAGCTCTGCCTACTCTTGCATCAGTCAGTATATTCACCAGATTTCAAAGCAGTCATTAAGCACTGACAGCCATAGGGAAAAAGCAAGGAGACATTTCTCACTATCTGAGATAAAATGAAGAAGTCCGCAGGGAACAGAATAGTGATAGCTTTCACCCTGCAGAGGAAGAGGAATATTTTCCTCTCTCTCAGAGGCTTGGGATAACGAGCTATAATGCCCTTGTTTGTTTTGTTTTGGAAAGAATGGGATGGTTGGCCAATGAAAAGATCTATCTTGTAAACTATAGTAAGCCAGTTTGGACACAATGATGAACACCACGTGTAGCAGAATAGAATACACGGGAAAAAATGCTTAAAGCTTCACCAAAGCATTATACATGGCTCAATTAACCAACTTATCCCCAGCAATCTGAGTTCTCCCCTCTGAGACACAGCCTAACAAATCATTGAACATTTTAATACTAAATAGCGGCCAGAACATAGCACCAATAAAATAAAGATGATATTTTACATATAATACACAGAAACTTCTTTGGAAATTTTTTATTTTCCTTGCCTCCTTGATTTTTGCATTGTGTGGATCTTTTTAGTCTTGTAACTCCACTCTGAGAAATAAACAGAACTGATATTATGAGTGAATTTTTATATGCTAAGAGAGATCTGTGTTGTTCAATGATTTATTTTTTCATATGAATACTTTTTATAACCCAATTCAAACCTCATTTCTGCCATAACTCTTTCTAAATTGTCCTCAAACAAGGTTAAAGCACCATCCTTTTTGTTTCCACAATGCTTTGAATATGAGCACCCTCAACATTTATTTATTTGCCCCTCTGATTCTCCACACTATAGTATTAATTTCTTGAAGGCAAGAATGGAGAGTTATAACCTCATTGTCAAGCATATAATAAATGCTCAGTCAACATTGATTGAATGCACGTAAGTGTGGCTTATATAGGAAATGGAAGTTGATAGCCTTGGTTGGATTTACTTCATTTATCTCTTTCTGTCTCTCTCTGTTGGTCATTTTCTCAGCAAGTAGGGTAGCGTAAGTTTCCTTGACAGAAGTAAAAATAAACAGCGACATTAAAATCACCATAATCTTATAATAGGGAGCATTTTCCAAACCTCTTGCTTCAATTTCCCGAATGCATATGTCCACCACCATGGGTCTCTGAGTGTTGTGAGCCTTCACAAGCGTCGTGAGGTCACAACAGTACACTTTCTTGATCCTCTTGAGATCGGGTTGGCAGTCATTGGGGACGTGCTTGGAACACTGTTTGTGGACGTTCAACCCGCAGTCTGTAACAAAGCAGCCACGTTAGCCTGGCCCAGCTCTTCATCCAAACTCAACACAAATGATATGTTGCCAAAAATAAAAATGAGAGCACTCAAAAATTTGATGTATTTCTTTGGAATATCCATCCCACTTAAAGATGATGGTCTCTACAGGATGAGTGTGGATTCATCTTTACTCACTAAACTCTTAGACATGTCCATTTATCTCATTAAGCCCTCTTTGTTGCTGGACCCTAAGAATAGCACGTCTACTAAAACAGAACATCTTACTGAGCTAGCTGGAATTAGTCATGTTGTTTATCTGTTTTCAACAGGCTGGAACCCTTCTGATCCACAAGTAGGCTTCTAGGTTTGGATCTCCAAAGCTTGTCATGGCTTATAAATGACACCCAAGACTTTTGCTAGGTTGTTTCCTTTCAGTCCCTGATGTTTCTTTGGCAGAAGACATAGCTACTGTCTCTGTAGAAATGCTTAATCTTTGATTTGAAGACCTGTCTGACCCATGGGCATCCTCTTCTGTTTCCTAGAGAGTTGCCCCATAGTTTCCAATGTCTTTCTCCCTATGGGGCAGTTTGGGAAGGCCATTTTCTTTTCTACTTGTCTTATTTTGACCCCTGTGTAAATAATGTGTAATTGTACGCCAGTGGGAATATCCGAGAGTTTATAATTTATAACAATGCCATGTGATGTGGTGATTAGAGTAATTATCTAAAAAGTCATATCAAGATCCGAAGCTGAAAAGGTACTTTGAAGTTCAATGAACACAATAAAAGCTTTGTTAGCAGTTGGTATCCACTGACAGAAATTCTCTGACAATAAAAGGTACAGTCTACATTTTGGAAAATAGAAATTTAATTTAGTGCTCAAGTATTTCAAAGTGGGTGTGTCTCAAAGTGTCTACTAACAGTGTTTGGCTACAGTGAATAATATGCTGCTGTGAATACAGATTGCAAACATCTCTTGAAGAAATGCTTTCAGTTCTTCGGGGGTGTATATCTGGATGTGAAATTCCTGGGTCATACGGTACAGCCACTCCTCACTTAATGACCGACTGTTTAACAATTGCTAGGACATAGGCCCAGTTCTCCGGCACTGGGAATCACTTTTCTCAAACCTTGTCTTGCTCCTGTAGTTAGTATTTACTACACAAGCGTTTGCATCCATGCAGACTACTTATTTCATTTATGAATTTATACTTTATTGATGCTACCCATAGTAGCATCCAGAATAAATAAAAATGACTATGCTGGTTTTACATTGCTGTGTTGTGGTGTGTTGTTGAACTCTGGTGCTCATCTAGTGTATGATTTTTAAATAGATAGAATTACAATGGCCAACCACTGTTTGAGTCCTGGACAAGGTAGCTTGAAATTCATGCAGAGCGCATATGCATGTGTGCCCAAAATCCTGAGAGGAAAATGGAGGATAAGAAATTGCAGTATGGCCATCCCCCCTGGGGGGTGATTTCTCACTTCCCCTCTCTCTGTCTCTTTCCAGGGATTTCACATGCCCTATAGCAAAAAAAAAAACCAAACCCCCCCCCCAAAAAAAATATTTGAAGCAACAATGTGTAGAATTGACTACTAATATTTTATTACAATGACATATTTATAACAAGTATAAAAATATCCAGTCTTTACAAACTAATTGAACTTCATATGCTACAAATAAAGTCCAATTCATTTTTAAAATATTTAAAATATGGAGAGCTAACAGATAACAATGGCTCCCTTTAACCTTTAATGATCAATTTTCACCTTTCCTGATACTTGGAGGAAATATAATGACATTAAGTAGCCATTGGAGAATATGAACAATATAACCTTAGAACGTATTTTATTTTTAAAAAACAGATACAGGTAGACATCTAAAAACCCTTTCATCCTAGAGAAAGTTGCTGTTCACAGCTAACTTGAAGTCTGGAGTTTTGTTCTCATAATATTGACTTTGGACCATTTTCTGCTGAAATTGGATAATACCAACCATAAGGAATATTTCTGGGTAAGTGATCTGGAAAGGCCAAATTAATGACCACTGAGTAATTCAGATATGCTTCCACTTTGCTCAGTGAGTGAGCTGTGAGATGCTTTGTGGTTCCTGTAAGTCCGCCTTCTGTGTTAAGGAAGTGTCATCTGCTTACTTTATTTTAAATGCTTCTTAAGAATTGTGTCAGTACTCATGGCGCTGAGCAACGCAATGCTCCGTGAGTCTGGACCCATGTGGGAAGATCCTGGGTGTGAGTCTGAAGGTCTCTCTGACATGCTGGACACATGCACATGTGTGTATGACTTGGCTGGCTGAGGCAGGGGAAGGATTGCTGTGCAAAGGTCCTATCGGGAGTGTCCCTCCCCCAGAATAAACAAACTAAAAAAAAAAATTAAAACAATTCTTACCCTAGGAAGGAGGAAATCATCCGAGTGTTGGTGGAAAACTGATCAATATCAGAGGAGGCTGCTCTTGCTCCCAGCCACACCGCTTGCCAGAAAGGGCATAGCGAGATGAATTGGGAAGCCCAGTTACACATTAATTTGTCAACTCTTTAACCATTTTTCAGATGTATTTTAATAAGATGTGTGTGTGCTATTAATAATGGGTGTGTACATGCAATTCTAGGTGGAAAAACACTTAGGGTTTCAAACTGCTTTAAAAATATATGATGTAAATCAGGGTATATGGTTTCAGTGTTAATCTGATACAGAAATATACCGAGCATGGGATCTGGAGTGTGACTGCCTTTCAATCTGTTTCTCCACTTATTCTGTGGCCAAGAGCAATGAATGATCTTGAAGTCACTTTTGTTTAATGGGGAATAACTACATGCCCTCCAGGTTTGTGAGATCTGCTGGTGAGGCTAAGTGGCATGCCACATAGAAAGTGCTGATGCCGGGTGCAAGTGCAAGTACCCAGGGTCTTGACTGGGTGGCGAGTGGGAGGGAAAAGGATTGTGGAGTGAGCAGACCTGTGGGAGGTGGTGTACTCTCTTGCTCGCTCGCTGCCTCCCTCTCTCTCTCATGCATGCACATGTGACTTCTGGTATTAAAAAAAAAAAAAAGCATGAATAAATAATAACATAAATAGAAAAGCTGAGCCCAATGCCTGACATGTAATAAATGCTCCATAGGATTACCATTTTTATATTTTACCTTTTATAGTCACAAAAGGTAGGAAAGAAGTGTGGTTTCTCTATGTGATTCTGGTTTAATTCTCTCTCCCTCTCTCTCTCTCTCTCTCTGCATTTTCTTCTTTTCAGGACTACTGCTTATTTTGAGAGGCAGGTAGGTGTTTAAGAAAATATGCTTGTGAGTTTTTTCCCTTCCTTTGCATAAAAGTAAGAGATTCCTTTCCAATCTTCCAAACACTTAGAACAGTCTCCCCATTAAGTACAGAGAAGCCTTGGATCTTCTAGAAGGTTCCACTTTTGAGCTATCTGGACATATTTCTCAGCTTTGAAGAGAGGCTCTTAAAAGTCTACATGGTGGCACTTCACAGAATTGGAAAAGGAGAAAGAAAGTTCTATGTCTACCTGAGCACCGGACCCCTTGGGCGATAAGCCCCCACATGAAGTTGGCACAGTATTCACACCAGTGCGGGCCTCGGAACGTATGGACCTGTGATACAGAGGAAGAAACCTATTAGGAACTACAGTCATCTGGAGGCAGGTGACCTCAGACATGAGCCACATCAATAAGGTGAAGAAACAATGGTCTCAGAAGGAATGATGACCTGCCTCTTCCAGGGAGGCAGAGTTGCAAACAGATTCCAAGAAAGCAGAGACATGCTTTGATCTTTAGTCATCCTCCCCCCATCCACCCTGCCTCAGGCCAGACTTAGAAAGGAACATGGAACAACAGTAATGTCACAGGGCCATGCCACCAGCTATAACACAAGGCACTCACCACCCAACAAGGCACGGTATGGATAAACCCAAGATAGACTGAGCTGGCTGCTGTGATCCGCATTTAGCTCAGCAAGTTCTGAAGGCGGAACTCAAAGACTGTGTCTTTTTGAGAGAAGTTGCACTGTCTACAGAGTATCCAGGCTGCTATAAATAAGGCATGATTATGGGCTAATTAAAAGGTTCCAAGGTTTCGAGCCACTTCCAAAAAAAGGCGGTGAAAAAAAAAGTGAAGAAGTTGGCTGAAAATGCAGGCTACCGATGAGGCCTATGGGACTGCCTCCCCAGGGATAGGTCTATATTAGCAGACTCTGATGTGGCCCTCCAGTAAGTGAGCTGAAAATCCATCCTCATGGGTCAGCATGCTGGGCTCATTGGTGGATGCCTGGGTTGGTTGTTCAATATTCTGAATGTCATAAAGTAAGGATGATCTTATCTCTAATTATTCAGGTACATGACCTGTACTAGGTATTAAATCATAATTTAAAACAAAAATAAAACAACACTAAAATACTTGTTCTCTGGCACAAAGGAGCTTCAGGAAGCAGAGCTAGGGGGTTCTTCGCAAGGAAAAGCGATTATGGTAAGATAGAAACCACCACAGACAGTCTAACAGGGGTGGACAAATCTACATGGAAACGTTCTGAATGTTTACAAAATTAAGACACTCTGAGACATTGTATAAAGCTTTTTAAAGTTTTAAATCTCCATTAACAAATAAAAGAAATCCAGACTACTATTTTTTAACAGGCTGGGAGGCCTATACCATGTTTCCTTGTTTGTTTGTTTTTAGAATTTTGCCATAGGGTGTGTGTACACTTGCTAGAGAGAGACAGAGAAAGGGGAACTGGAAAATCGCCCTCCAGAGGGGATGACCAGGCTGCATTCCCTTCTCTACTCTCTTTATGGTATTTTAGGCACTCACGGACACATGCTGGCATGATTTTCAAGCCCCTGAAGTCAGCCATGTGGGATTCAGCACCTTAACCATCATGCCACCTGCTGGCCCCCTTATATACTACTTCTTACAATTTTTTAAAAAAATTAATTTATTTTACATTCATTCACTGAACATCATCACAGCATACAAAATGTGATTTCCCATCCAGTATATACATATATATTTCCTCCCTATTTCTCACCCCTGCCATTTCCCACCCTCCTCCCACACTGTCTCTGGTGTCTATAGTTGCTTTCTATCCCCCTCCCATATTTTACCATATTTTATTGATTTATGAAATATCTTAATTAATGTAACTATTTTCAATAGCAAGTTTAGCTGATATACTACTTTAAAAGAAATAAAAAAGCAGATCAGGATGACAAGTATGGTCACAATTCAGGATGATGCTCCTAATAGTTCTACTTAAGAAAGAAAAACGTGATTGCTCCCCCATTATTTATACACACTAGTAGTTGGACAGCTATAAAGAGACAAACAAAACAGAGCTAGACCCCTAGTAGAACTAACAGATGACAAAAAGCACAGAAAGAAAGCAAGTTAACCGATCAAAAAGAACGCCCTTGACCATGGTTTTTAACGCAACAAAGCTAAATGATAATAGTCTTTTGGTATTTTAGTTTATCACATATACTGCCCATCACATAGTTCCTACTTTGAAAAATGTTGAAAAAAAACCTTTTCAAAGTTGTTCTCACTGAAATGAAGAATGCAAGGGAACAACTCTAAAATATGATAAAACCTTCCTTGTAGGAACGCTGATAACTCATCCCAGGAGCACTTGCATTCTCACAGCGACAAATGTCAGATTCATTTAGACACCTACTAAAATTAGTACCAAATAATTAATCAGTACCAAGATAATTCCACAGCAAAGTGTCCTATTTAAAGTTGAACATTTTCCTTTCTTTTTGGAGAGGTTTTTGCTATAGGGCATGTGCGCTCACCAGACAGACAGAGAAAGACATAGAGACAGAAAGCAAGAAATCACCCCCCTGGGGGGATGGCCATGCAGCAATCCCTTCTCCTCCATTCTCCTCTCAGGATCTTGGGCACGCACGCACACACGCCCAACGTGAGTTTTAAGCCACTGGGTCCGGGACACGAACTGCGGTCGACTATGTGGGAGTCTAGCAACATAGCCATTATGCTAACTGCTGGTTTCCAAAAGTTAAACATTTTCCTTTTAAATAATTATTTTACTTAATTTTATTAATTCATTCATTTATTTTAATTTGATTGGAGAGAGACACAGAGAGAGAAAGAGGGAAAGTGAGAAAGCAAGCCACCAAGTCTGAGACTCGAACCATGGTAGGCCATGTGGGAGTGTCCAGCACCTTAACCACCATGCCACCTACTGGTCTCATAAGTTGAACATTTTCTAAATTCAGTCATCTTATGTGTCTTAATATTTTACTAGAATTGCTCTCAAGGTGCTGGGTGACTAGGGTAGCGAAGTTGATTGCTAACATACTGCTGGCCTAGCCAGGGTGCTGTGCTGCTAAGGCACTGTCCTCTGTGTAGGCTGGGACCATGTGGGGACCTGAGTCTGATTTCTGGTTCAACCTAAAGGCCAGATGCTGTAGCATGTGTTGTAATCCCAGGGATTCCAAGAGGCTGAGGTATGAGGGTCACAAACTCGAGGCTGGCCTGGGCAGCATAGCAAGACCGTTTAATAAAGGGTTGGTTGAGATAGCACCTGCCTGTGGTCCAGCTGAGAGGCTGAGGCAGGAGGGTTAGGATGGCAAGACCTGTCTAATGTGGTATGTGTATGTAATAGTGGAATTGCAAGTGTAATTAAATATAATAAAATGATAAGTAAAACATGACTCCCATTAAAATAATATCAAATTGGCTACAGAAGAAACAAGATGAGGCTGCTACTGGAAAGACTAAGAGGGGCCTGGTATTTTTCAGGATAGGAAGAAAGGCTTCTCTTGGAAGGTGATCTGAAGGAAGAGAAGGAGCCAGAGCTGTGAGGAAAGGAATAAGGAACATTCCAGGCAGAGAAGATGTCTGGAAGTCTTGCATGAACACATGCGCTTGGCGTGCCTGAGGAACTGGAACACCAGAGTGGCCAAAACATTGAGAATGAAGGGGAGAGGAATTGGCATCAGGTTCAAAGTAGGAAAGAAACAGTCATACGGAACTTTGAAGGGTTTGCTCATGTGTGTGGATTTGTTTTTAATCTAGTACAATAAGAAATTCTTGGAAATTCAAGTAGGATGGTCATTTAAAAAAAGAGTTGCTGTGACTACTATGTTGAAACTAGATGGGAAGGTGTTAATAGGGATTAGATTCGGAAACTATGTTAGTAGTAGACTATTTCTCTACTGAGAAATCACAGAGGTCAAAACCAGGATGTTGGCAGTGGAAATGCAAAGAAGAAGAATTTAAGATACATTCTGAAGATAGGATTTAAAAGACCTGATAATAGAGGACATGTGGGACTTTGAGGGATAGAGAAACCAAGAATGACTTCTAGATTCTAGCTTAGGGCCTAGGGAGATGGAGATACCATTTGCTGAAATGGAAAAGACACTCTTAGGTGGGGAGAATTTCAAGAATTCTGTTTTGAACAAGTTAAGGTTAAATGCCAGCTGTATCCAAAGGTTAGTGTCAAGCAGGAATTCACACAATTTGATAGCTCAGAGGAGCAGTAGGCTGGAGGTGTGAATTTGGCTATCAATGACAAGTTGATGGTTGTAAAATTTTGTGAAAAGATAACAAGGATTAGAGATAGAAGGTAGGAAACAAATCCAAGCTCTTGGTGCTCCAACATTTAGAAAAAACTAAGGAAGTAAAGTGTTTCAGAATCTAAGAGATGAGTGTTTTAGGGAAGAAGCCATCAAGCATGTTGAATGTTTTAAGAGGTCCAAATTTGGGAACCAGCAGTTAGCGTAATGGCTATGTTGCTGGACTCCCACGTAGTCGACCGTGGTTCGCGTCCCGGACCCGGTGGCTTAAAACTCACGCCGGGCGCGTGTGCGTGCGTGCCCATGATCCCGAGAGGAGAATGGAGGAGAAGGGATTGCGGCGTGACCTTCCCCCCTGGGGGGTGATTTCTCGCTTTCTGTCTCTATGTCTCTCTCTGTCTGTCTGGCGAGCGCACGCGCCCTATAGCGAAAATCTCTCTCTCAAAAAAAAAAAAAAAAAAGGGGCAAAATTATAAATATAAAGGTTTTCCTGGGTATCCACAAGTTTCCCAACTTTTTTTCGAGTTAGAAGACAG